AATTCATGGATGATTCGATTATACAAAATTAAAATCTATTCGACAAAATTCTCCGGTGTCTTCTTGTCGGTGAACGATAATATTTAAAGTACGGCGTCTTTTGTCAACGAAAATGTAATCGAACGGAACGTGAAGTAAGCAAGCATTCCCGAGCACTCAGGTTCGAAAGGTAGGACGAGGTCTGATCGGATTTCTGGCAAAAAGGTAAAGGCTCGGGAAAACATGCAGCAGGCAACAATGGGATTCCGCGACAAGTCGATTTGTCGTAGAGTCAAGTTCGCCGACACGTCATTTGTCGCCGTTACGTTCTTGACGCGCTCTGTCGCTTCGATCTCTCTTTCTCGTTTCTCGGCGATGTCCACGCCGACATCCGAGCGATTCAATCGCTCCGGAAGGGATTTCGCCATGATGGAGCCTGTTAATAATGCCAAGTAATTCGAACTCCACTGCGCATTTGCATTTGGAATTAGACTTTGCGCGAGTCTATTTCGAGTAAGAGATTTCAAGTACACAATAATACAGTTGTGTGCGTTCTCATCTTGTACGTGAAGATTATTGAAACGTCTTTCTTATTAAACTCTATCATTTTCAAACTTGGACTACCATAAAGCTCTTTATTTTCTCTATATCACACAGATTTTCTTAGTCCAAACGTATAGATCGCCGTATTGATGAAAATGTGACACGAGTAAAAATTATTTTTGAAATAATAAAAAAAAATCGATCTCTCATAAAGACTAATTATATATATATTACATATTATGAAAAAACATATTTGCCAATACATTGCTTATGAAAAAGTGTCACAATTTTAATAAAGGATGAAATTTACAGAACTAGAGTTGCAGTATTTGAATTTTGAAAACTCATGACATAATTTAAAAAAATACGTTATAATGGAATAATGCATATTCACTATCTTAATTAAAATTTCGTTTCAATTCAGAAAAAATTGTAAAAGTCCTCAATTTAAAAGTTGCTCATTTTTATGTCACTTTTCTATTAACACAGCGATATCATTTCTAATAATACAGTTATCGCAACATCGATATTGAGTACAAGTTAAGATGCAATGGAATGAAATGTGAAATATTATGTTTCCGCCGTCATTTAACTTTTATATTCATATTTCAATTTATTTTATTTTAGAATAAAGCAAACTTTATAGTAATCGCTGCATACATAAAGTACAAAAAATTATATATATTCGAACAAGCGAAGGATATATTTTTGAATAGTTATGAAAAGAAATTTGAGGAAATTTACTTGAAAATAGTCGGAATTTGCTTTAAATTTTACTTTTCACAATACGATATGATGAATAATCAATAGTTTATTTAAGATACACTTATTAAGTTAAGAGGCTATATTATTATATATATAATTTGGAGGAATATTATTAATTTAATTTTTAATTAAAAATATCGATTTCTAAGTTTATTTTGATCTCTACATATTATATCGCTCTTTTTATTTATCGCGTACGATGCCGCGGTAAATGACAAAATCTTTATATATTTTTTTTTGTATTGTATACACTGTATGTGTGAGATTCTCACTCGATGACATATTGAACAAGTGCGACGGGTCAAACGGCGGTGGCGTCGAGTGTGCGGAGAGATCGATGGCTTCTTTAGAATCGAAAGAGAAGTCTATTGCCGGAGAGTGGCGTCAAATTGACTACGTCCTAGTCCTGCCATTTATACGCGTCGCTAACCTTTCAGACATAAAATTCGTCCATAAAATGCGATAAACGCAATAAAAGGGAAGAGACAATGTGTTTCTAGTTTATTTTATTAGTCCGTACGTTACGCTCGCGTTTTACAGAAGTAAAAATCTTCCTTTTTGCAATACAACGCAACGCACGGAGATTGTTCTAATCCAATGAAGCGATTCAACGGAATAAAGAAGTATTTCAGTGATGCGTTACGGCGAAATGTAGAAATTGCTTTGTTAAAGAGGAGAACGATAGGTCATTGGCTTCCTCGAAAAGCCGAGCGGAAATGTCAATGCGCTACGGTGAGTTGACTGCTTTTAGCCCCAGCATTTATATTCATCGGTAACTTTGATTGTGCGCCGTAGGAATCGAGAATGGTCCCCGAAACGAAGCAAGACGGCAGTAAAACCGAAAGAGAGAGAGGAGAAAGGGAGAGAATGAGAGAAAAAGAGAAAGGTGAACGGGGGTAGTGAAATAGGCAAATCCCATGGCACTCCATCTCGCTCTGGCAGCGAGTCAGCCATGCTCTAGGGAGAGAGTGTGGGCCCCTGTTATACCGAAGCTTTTATTTCCGAAGCATCGATCTCCATAAAGTTGCTGCCGCGAAATGAGTTCCTGCGGTCTTCCCGGAGTTACTCTAAAGCGCTTTGCACCTGCAGAGATACCTAAACCGGCGCGCGTCGTGTCTGTCTGTGTAGTTGCGCTTAATTAAAGAATGCAACTCGGTCGGACATCTAGATGTCTAAATCGTTGTGAAGCGTTCTTTATATAGAACACTGTTACTTGTATTTATGTAGCATGTGTCCGGAGTATCTATATTTATTATTGCATATCGCTCTTAATTATATTGTCAATAATATGTGTCATTCTCAATTAAATTGATAAATTTAAACATATTGCGAATATATTGTGAAGATTTTGCAGATGTTACGTGAATTCCAACTGAGACATCGTTGGAAATTATTTTATTGAATTCGATCTTAAAGCTAAATTTTATTAAAGATCTCTATTAAAGCTAAAAACAAATTTGTGACCATGAATATACAATTTAGGCGACAGAAATAATTGAAATTGTTAAATCATTTATAATGTTATTTTAATAGAATCTCTACAAAAATAATCATTATATAATTCGAAAATTCATTCCTTTTTTTATTAATATATTATATTAAAAACATTTTTAAATAAACTTTTCAAATTATATAACTCTGTTACATTAATTATTTAAAAGTTTTTTTCAAATTTATGTCGAAGAATATTTGCAGTTTCGTTTCTTTTTTAACGAATTTCTTGGTTGTTTAGAATTTTCAAATTTATATAACAAAGTTTATTTTGAAAAATTCTTTTTCCAAGTTTTATATTTTTACAAATCGCAAGCATTATACCTATAATATCTTTAGAGCAAAACGGCTCTATATTCAGATTCGCGACTGAAACTATACGCAGTCGAGTAATTTGAGAAAACGTGCCACAGAACTCTTCTCTTCTTCCCTGTAAGTACTTCCTGTTAACACAGTATTTACGAGTCGTTCTCCGTTCCTTCGGGGATAGTCAGCGTTAGTTGGCATCGGATACGTATTTTCCTGCGCGAGACGAGTATCTCCCACTTTTCTCTTGAAGCTTTCTTTCTTCTCTTTTACGGCACGTGCGCATTGCTCCCTCGTCAACCTCGCGACTTCAGTCGATGGTGCCCTTTTAATCTTTCGCGTTTCCTTCTCTCCAAAAGATTTATCCTTCGCTGAAACATTGGCAAGTCGAGGGACTGACGGAAAAGGCTTGAGAAAAATATTGGAAAAAAAGTCGAGAGAAATCGAAACAATATATATACTGCAAAGCCAAGTGCTAATAATAGCCACTATTAAGGTATTTATGTGATGTTCGGCAAGCCGAGACGGCAGGAGGAGACGAAAGGAAAGAGGACGATTTATAAAGAAACACAACCCTCTTTGATTTTAATACGTTTTGGATTTGTTGAAACATAAACAAAAATAAGAGACACGTACTTTTAATAAATGCTCAATCGTATGTTTGGAAATCGGTTTCTTTCTTTCTTATTGTGAGTGAATATATCACCTAAACCGTCAAAGATATAAAAAATGGAGGGAGAGATGTATATTCCCTTATCAGTCGAGTCATCAAATGTACAAAGAGATATCTCGAACGCGAGACACTTCCGGTCTATTTGATTTTCTGTTATGTCTCGCGGCGATGCGCTTCTGCTCTCTCTCGCCTTCTTCCTAGCCCAAATGAGTACGTCGCAGGGCAACAGTGATACGGGTAGATGGGCAACTCAGACGTTCGCAATTGCAATGGCAAAATACGTATAAGACAGGTATCTGCGCTTGGCGAACGCGGACGCAATCTGCAACTTGGAATCCCCCTTGCTACTGTCGTTGTTGTTACTACTGCTGAAGGAAAGTCCCATGGTGTTGGATAACTGACGCAGTGAGACGCATTTCTCGCTCGAGAAATAATCTCGCGTTATCCCTGAGATTCAGACTTTGGCGTTTTAGCTGTATTATGCGCGGCAATTAATTCGTGCTGTTTTAGAAAAAACACGGTGCAATTAAAACGTAAATAGGAAAATTTTGGTGGCAATTTAGAATCTGAGCAAAAAGTTATTTTGCTAAGAACATGCTAGATATGTTTTTAAAAAATAATTAAGGTAAAATAAGAAAAATATAAAATTGTTAAATATTGATCTTATTGAATCGTTTATGTACTTAACATTCATTTTTATGGATTTTACGGAAAGTACAAACGATAATATAAACGATTTTAGAAAGTATAAAATTTCAATTCTAGTAATTTTTTACTGAGACTACGCATCCTTCAGCGTTGAAATTAAAAGAGACTTTGGAGCGTCAAATGAAAATAATCCAACGCAGGTGCACAAAAATCGATATAGAGACATATGCTTTTTTCCGACACATTCGAACTTTTTCAGTGAATTTTTAAGAAAACAAATTAACTACGAATGTAATAAAATTGTATTTTTTAATTGACTTGCAAAATATTTTCTACTTTAGCAGCAGACATTTACATAATACATTTCCTTCCAAACTTTGTAAAATTAAGAAATTATTTTTAAAATTGCAATTGAGCGTACGATTGCTGGAATTCGTAAAAAAATATATTCACCGAGAAAATATCTTTGACAAAAAAGAAAGGCAGATTGAATCAAGACCGATTTCAAAAGAGAGATTTTCAGGAGTGTTACATTATGCAGCACGAGCCCGATGTGATGTCCCCGCGGAGCAACTACATTAATCCTTTACGTGAATGACTCTCAAGCTTAGAATACGTTTGTATACATACGCGTTTCTCGATTCCTTCGAGACATTTGTATTGCTCGGGCTGAGATTCACCTGGAGAAATCGTAACGCGCACCGCATTCCAAATAAATACGCTCGACATTTCGCCCCCGCATACGGAATGGACTTGCAGGAACGAGATGTATGTACAATAATCGTTAAATGAACTAGACGAAATAATCTGTCGAACGCACGATTTATCCATTGCGGGTAGCGGTGGGATTAGTCCGCTTCAGTCAAGCCGACAAAATAAATCAACGTCGGGCAACTATTGCATAACGTTGACACGGATTAGTTACGTGTATTAACATGGATAAATTACGGAAATGGTTAGGTATCGCGTACGCTCGAGCTGTTTGACGAGCTGTCAGTATAAACCGATAAAGAGAGACGATATTTCCATTGAGAGTGAAATAGAATATATTTTGATTGATCGATGAAAGTCCATAAATGAGAGAGGAGAGCTCGAAATTTCACGCAGTACTGGTTAATTGACCGTCACTCTTATATCTTTGATAATCAAAACGCGAAAAGCTTGAGGGTACCAGCAGTATCTCAAACAAGATCGGAGGATAATAGCGCCGATGGAGCGGCAAAGAGTACAGGGTTGATCTTCCTCTATCTTTCTCTTTCTTTTATCTCGGAGGGCGACTTATCGAGTCGGAGAAGCCGTTTAACGGTTCGTTACGAGAGAGCTCTTTCGCACTTTATCTGGTTTCAGACTCTCCGACGTGAGCAACGGAGAAGCGGGGTTTCGCAGGCGGGATTCGTCGGGACGTGGGAATCATTCCGAAGACGAAGGAGACAGGTCGCGAATGGAATATCCACGTCTACAAAGGACTTAAACTTGTTGTCACCTTAAGCTACGTACAACGCGAGAACTACGCAAGCAGTTCTTCTCTTTCCAACAAATGAGATAACAGACTTAAAACATCGTTAAATAATTCATGGTATTTTTTTTTTTTTTTCGAAATAAAACGGAAGTGCACTTAAGGAAGTGCACTGTCGGCAGAGACGAATTTTTATTTTACCAAATTATCATTAAAAAGAGACTCGTAATGTAATTGTGACATTTTTGTAATCAGAAAATATATTGCCTGCATTTTCCTAAAGGGCAATTTTTTTGGGAAAAAAAAGCAAAATAGAAATTCTGATATTTCATTCGATGTGCACTATAGTTGTAGTTGGTAATCTTCTTTATTATAATATTTTAAGAAGCAAGAGTTTTAAAATCCGGCTATTTAGCAAGCTTTAGCAGTTTCGTAAAACGTAAATAAAAAGAGTTTTATAGCAAAATATTGTTTCTACGAGATAATATGGCTGAGCTTGTTTGTATCTGCACCGAATAAAAAACAGATAATTTTTATTTATTACGATAGGTATTTTTAAGAGCGAAACCGACTCTTTAACAGCTTTTATATCTTTAAAAGAAATAAACTAAAAAAAATCTTACGAAAAAATATTTCTTCTACGTGACAAAATGTGATAGAATACAGATATACATCTGCACTGCAAATGAGGTGCAGATGAGTTGGCTCGTCGCTCCTGCCGACCCTTAGGACTAAACCGCGGTTTATTCAGTTTAGATAGAACTCTGAATTTATTCATCAGTCCTACAGGGCTTTCCGTGATCATTAAAAAGTTAAAAGAGCCAAATTAAAAAAAATTGACATTTACACCGCACTGAAATTAAAAAGCAATTGCATCAGTATTGTGTACACTCGCCCTCATTGCACTGCAATGAATCGGACGTCTCACTGCGTTTCAAGGAGCCATTAAAGCTACGTTAATTAGCGTGAGAAAAGAAATCAAGATCATCAATTTCTTATACACAGAACGATCATTGAGATCTATAGAGCGGATTACGTGACATTTGCAAAATGCACTTTCACAGATATATGCCATCATATCTGTTTGTGCTCGGCAGCGCGGTCAGGGAAAATTTCGCGGTCCTATTACCCTTTTCGTGGAGCACTAATTAGTGCTGCGGTAAGGATGGTGTGGTCTTCGTTAGGGAGAGTTAGTATCCATCTACATTCGTGCTCGAAGCACATTATATCGCACCAACATTTGTAAAACGCAACTGAATGTACATTACAACACCGTATCCGTCTCATCTTGACGTCGATTTCAAGTGGGCTCTTCATCTTTCTTTCTACGCCGTGTCTCGGAACAATCCTATTGACAGTTTATAATTAGAAACATAAGCTCACAGCATTGTCGTGTTTTTTACAGTGAAAAAGGATATAAAGTTATATAAGCAATACGTGTAAAAATTACACAATTTTATGGTGGAAATATTTAATTATCTATAAAGAAGAATAATTTTATTTGTAAATTGTTAATTTTATATGTAAATATATCTTGAACAGTGAGTCCCAAAAAAAATTACTCAAAATTACCTTATAATTGTTGTAATTTTGCATATAATTCTTTTACAGTGCTGTTGGCACTCCTGTTGCATAAGAGCGCACAATTCGCAGAATTCTTACGCGTAACGCTTTTATGTAGCTAGAAAAGTCGAAAAAGATAGCGTTGAGAGTGAGTCATGCAGTCACGCGCGAAGTGTGTGTATCGGATGGATAAAGAATTCGGTGAGAAGAAAGCAGCAAGCGTTGACGGAGGCAGACTAGGGTTTTCTCATGGAAAAACACGTCCTCACCTATTTCCCGAGCAGAGGAAGTTTCTTTGTGCCTTCAAATTAAGTTAGACCACGTGGAAGACGTATTCTCAAACTTTTTCTTTTCCATTCGCCTTTTTCATCCGCTCATCTTATCTTCGTCTTCGAGTCTCTCCGAGTCTGTCCCGACTCAGGTACCACTCCATAAAGAAGAAAGATGCGACTCGATTGCGCTTTGTAAAGACATACTCAATTTAACCATTAAAAATTGGACGAGTCGACGTTGTATTGGTAACGAAAGATTAATAAGAATAACTATGGATACATTCAGAGAGCGGGTTGGAGGTTCAATTCTCCCCAAAATTTTTTTATTTATTTTTAATTATAAAAAATGCACCTTCACTTTTGATTCTGAGTAATTTAAATATTTTTCTCCCGTGAGTAATTTCTGAAATTTCTGTTAGTTAGAACTTCGACAATATCCCATAATAAGTACATCAAAAGTTTGCAAGGTTTTTGTGCCGGAAAACAGAATATGCGCTGAAATATTAATGAGTACTCCATTCATAACTATACATTTGCTAGTATTCTATTTGCTTATATTTTCTTCAGGAAAAAAAAGTCGTAATTTATAAAGTCTAATATTTTTTTCCATTTAAAGTGAAAAACATTCTAAGCTCTAAATATCCAAAAAAGCAATTCATTAACGCAAATTACTGTAGTTCATTAATACAAATATTGCTTTGTATGATAATTCCTCTCTCTTTCCAAAAAGAAATCTAGAATACATCCAGACAATATAACGCTTGTGCGAGCGAAATTAATTTCCATTATAATCTAATCTAAACAGTTTAAAGTATTCTATTCATCCATTTAACACTTTTCATTATTTGGATTACTTCAGACGTCTTAAACAGAATTGCATCCTTTCTCTCTAAACGAAGAGGAGAAACATTTTTACCCCAAGTGGCTGACGAAGAGGAGCACTTGTCGGGATTTCATCGATTCGAAATAAAGCAGTCGCGTACCGAGTGCAGTTTAAATACGACTTATCTTGTTGAATATCGAAATTCCACGTTGCGCGATGAAGATCGTCGTGAAGGGATAAACATTCAACGCGGCATTAAACTAGAACTTGAAGCGAAGAACGCCATAACAGATTCTCGCCGCGAGTCTCGGTTGACGAGTCAATGGAAAAGTCGGCGAGCAACATCATTGTCAAAAGCAGTAATAGCGACGGAAACGGCAATGACCCGTGCAAAACGCGACGGAAGCGACTGGGACTTTTGCGCGGCAATCATGGTAAAGCGCAAACTATTCAAGTTGCGGGCTTTCACCGTCGACTTGCAAGCACCAATCTCTCTCTCTCTCTCTCTCTCTCTCTCTCTCCTCTCTCGTCGGTCCACTCTCTTTTTTCTCTCTTCCACCGTTTTCTCCCTCTCTATCGATTCCCACCCTTGCATCTGACACTTTCTCTCCTCTTCATCGTTTCTGTTTCTTTTCAGGCCTTCCGTACTGTATACAAAGTGGAAGCACTAAATTGGAAACCGCCGCTTTGTCGGCGCTATTGCGGCTTCTTCTTTCCGTCGGTTTCGCCCTGTTTGTTGCCTTTCGTTGCCTTTTTTTTTATCCTTAACCTCCACCTCTGCTCCCTTTTTATTTCCTGCAGCGTTGGAGGACCGTTACTCTTGCACCAAGTCGCGAAGGCTCGCCTTGATGTCGTGAGGACAGGCCGCCGTTACAGTTGACATTGTCCAGATTTATTGAACGTGCTCTCTCCCTGTTCCTGATTCGGTTCCTGAGGCAGCCGCACTTCCACCGGCTACGTTTGAATTTATAGTCGAGAAAGACTTCTCTTCAATTCCGCCCCCTGATGAAACATCATTTCTCTTTCAGGGCGTATGAAGATGCCCTGATAAATATCCCATATAATCAGCCTGAGTTTCTTCAACGTTGTCGTTTACACTTACGATATGATATTACCAAGAAATTAATATTACGCAAGAATAGTTGGCATCCGTAATAATGTGGTTAAAATATCCAAGGTTTATAGGTAAACTTCGCTGGTGCATTATGCACAAAGTCCCTTGAGTACTTTGGTCTTGCCGCAACATTCTGCTGAAACCTGTAAATGGCTCTATTAAAATGTCCATGAGTGGATGTTCGAAGTTTATGCACGACTGGGAGAATTTGTACACATGATAGAACGTGCCTAAGTTTTCGAAATATTTTTGTACGTCGGATCTGTTTTCCTCTCTTTAATAATATTGTAGAATATGATCACTCTCGAATTCAATTTCAAATCGGAAATTTAACGAAGATAAGTTAATTACTAAATTAACCCTACAATTACTCGCGTGATTTGTTTTTAACATAATTATTCTTGTGAAGTCCTGACACCCCAACATTATATCTTAAAAAAGTAAAAGTTTTCCTTAAATTGTGGAACAATCTGTGTTAAATGTAATAAATAGCACTCACATATTTAACGAATTTATAAGGCCGAAGTGCCCTGGATACCTCTAAAAATAAAAATAATTTAATAATTGAAGAATCTGGATACAATAATAGCGTAAGTAGATTAATAATTATTTTAAGAAATTGAAAAAAGTTTTATATTTAAATAAACCGTAAAGTAAAATTAAATATTATTTCAATTTGTTTTTAAAAAAATTAAATAATAGATTTCAAAAGATTAGGCTGAATATATCGCATAATTAAAAATATAGATATAATGCATTCTTGATATACGCTATTGTTGCATAAACTGCAGAAGTATTATAAATTTTAATATATCTGCTAAATATGAATGCATCATAGAGTAAAAAACAGATTAAGATGACATTATTATTATTATGTTAATTAATTTAAAGATTTAGTCTTAGTATTTTATTTCCCACGAATCAGTTCATCATTTCTGTGGTACTAAACAACACCAAATCCTCTTTGTAATCCTCGTGTGTAAATGTGCGTGAGCATGACGTGCATGTGAAGGAATTAAGAATTTCGTAAACAATAATTATGCAATAACAGCATAAGTTGATTAACACTGTTATTATAATCAGATCTTCAATCCCATTATAATCCCGAAATATTTAATATATTGAAGTAACCTTATTTAATTTTTCAAGTAAATATTAGTTTTTCGTAATTCATCATACTTCTGTGACGAAAATAAATAATGTTAGAAAATTATTTAATGCTCACCATATAAGTTTTAATTGCGATCGAAAATAAGTAAAGTAACGTTAGAGAATTATTTAATGCCCACAGTATCTATAACTTTTAATTGCGATCGCCCCTCTTATTGAGCGAGAACGTGATAGGATTATTCTCATCTAACTTACTCATCGGTTTCTACTGCGAATGAATGT